AAAAAAAAAACCACAGAATGGGCTCAGCGCCTGGGGCTCAAGTGGCTAAGGCACCAGCTACATACACCTAAGGTGCTGGGTTCAAATCCAGCCCGGGCCCGTCAAATAACAATGACAGCTGCAACAAAAAAATAGCCAAGCGTTGTGGCGAGTACCTGTGGTCCCAGCTACTTGGGAGGCTGAGGCAGGAGACTCATTTGAGCCCAGGAGTTGGAGGTTGCTGCAAGCTATGATGCCACGTCATTCTACCCAGGGGGACAGCGTGAGGCTCTGTCTCCAAAAAAAAAAAAAAAAACCCCACAGAATGTATAATGCACAAGTATATTCCTAACATTAAGAAATAAGTATATATATATATTTTTTTTTGTAGAGACAGAATCTCACTTTATCGCCCTCGGTAGAGTGCCATGGCATCACACAGCTCACAGCAACCTCCAACTCCTGGGCTTAGGCAATTCTCTTGCCTAGCCTCTCGAGTAGCTGGGACTACAGGAGTCCACCACAATGCCCGGCTATTTTTTGTTGCACTTTGGCCAGAGCCGGGTTTGAACCCACCACTGTTGGTATATGGGGCCAGCACCCTACCCACTGAGCCACAGGCACCACCCATATATTTTTTTTTATTATTGGGAGATTCCTTGGGGGCACAAAGAACCAAGTTACACTGATTGCATTTGTTAGGTAAAGTTCCTCTTATAATTGTGTCCCGCCCCCAAAAAGTACATATTTAAAGTAGCAGGAAAAGGCATGTCCTAATCAGATGGTTGGTTTCTGAAGATGAAGTCAGAAGACAAGGGGCAAAGCTGCAGCAAAAAGCTCTTCAAGGAGGAAATAAGGACCATGGAGAGGAACAACTTTAATTACAAACCTGTGAGCATGTCATGCCCTGCACTCCAGTGCCTGTGGGGGCTCTTAGCCACACCGATTACTTTCAAAACAATGTTCCTGAAACTTTTAGTTTGAAGTTTTGGGGGCTCAAGCGATTCTCCTGCCTCAGTCTCCCAAGTAGCTAGGACTACAGGCACTCACCACAACTCCTGGCTTTTTTTTTTTTAAGAGATGAGGTCTCGTTATGAGTCAGGCTGGCCTTGAACTTCTGAGCTCAGGGTAATCCACCAGCCTCAGCCTCCCAGAGTCCTAGGATTACAGGCATAAGCCACCCTGTCCAACCTGTTCCCAAACCTTTTAAACAAGCATTATGACAGGAGACCAGTGAACTGGCACAAAGGTAGAATTAACACATGCAAGGCATATTTAGGATTATTCCCTTAGAATACCTTCCCAGAATGTCAAAGGCAATCAATAAGAAAGAATAAAGAGCCAGAAAGAAACTCACAGGCTTGGTGCCTATAGCATAGTGGTTACAGCACCAGCCACATACACCAAGGATGGCAGGTTCGAACCCGGCCCGGGCTAGCTAAACAATGACAAGTGCAACAAAAAATAGCCGGGCATGTAGCAGGCACCTTTAGTCCCAGCTACTTGGGAGGCTGAAGCAAGAGAATCACTTAAGCCCAAGAGTTTGAGGTTGCCATGAGCTATAATGCCACAGCACTCTACCAATGGGGACAGTGAGATTCTGTCTCAAAAAAAAAGGGGGGGGTGGGGTGGCGGCACCACCTGTGGCTCAAGGAGTAGGGCACCAGCCCCATATACCGGAGGTGATGGGTTCAAACCCAGCCCCAGCCAAAAAAAAAAGAAAAGGAAATTCTCTCACATATAATTATTCCCAAAACCAGGAGAAAAGTAAGAATTAGGGATAAAAAAGTTATGATAACAGATTAATACATTAAAAAAATTCCACTTAAACACTTATCACAAATCAGGTATCAAAATAAAATAAGCATTTTTATAAGCTAACTTTTCAAGTTCTATGCATATACTGAGGTTGGTGGGTTCAAACCCACCCCTGGCCAAACCGCAACAAAAAAACAGCCAGGGGT